GGTGTAAATTAATGCCCAAGACATTATCTCTTGTTACGCAGTCGGGAGCTCGTGCCCAAAAAATTTTGCGGTGTATTAAATTTTCCCGACCCGTTGCATGTAATGGTTAACCAAGGGCCTAATTGAAATAAAATGCTTTTAAAAATGAGTTGCCCAGGGTTGATTCTTTCCTTGTTAAATCTAAGTTTTCAAAGCATAATATGCTTTTGTTTTGGGGAAACCCAAATTTTTTGGGCATTTCCGTTAATTTCGGCCAAGTATTTAACACATTTGACTTTATAATGTTATATTTGGGGAACGTCCGCTTTTACTAGGTAGAGCGAAGAAATATGAAACGTATATTGATTATAAACATGCTATCCTTGTTTGCCAAAAATGATATATGTGCACATTTTTGATCTGTCGACATGTGTTATATCCCCAAATCTCTGATGAGTAAGTCAAAATGGGTTTTACCATAGCATCGAAATAGTTTTGAAAGCATCATTAACACTAAAATAACCAAAATGTTTCTGATAAGCATAAATAACATTAACAGCCTTGGTCGCCTGTATGGCTAGTACATCTTTCGTTTTAGTCCATGAGAGTTTTCGGGGTAAAGTATGCTCCTAGATATTTGTAACAATTCACAACTTCTATTTCATTTTTCATTATACATCCAAATGGCTCATATGTCTTAGTGGAGCGCGCCATTTCTGAAAACGATTTATCTTAGATTTTATCAAGGTTTATACACATCCCAGTTTCAGCACAATAATTACTTATTTCATTTATTTGTCTTTGGAGATTTATAGCGTGTTCGGCAAAACTGGAGACATCGTTCAGCAAATAATAAACAATACAGCTCTCCTGTATGTTGTGAGATAGTGATTCCATTTTGACATTTATTATTTAAGTATTTCACAAGGTCCATTTATGTATAGGTTAAAAATGATTGATGACGTCACACAACCTTGTTTTGTTCCTTTGGCGCACTCAAAAGAAATCAGTCAACCCGTTCATCGTAGGTCCTGATACTTTACACATGACCGAAGTTGAGAATAAATATTCCGGAATAACGTTAGAAATCTGCCTTCAGGGGATATTCCTTCCGTTCTAAGCTTTCCCATATTTTTGAAATGTACACAATTGTCAAAGGCCTTAAGAAAGTCAACGTAAAAACACATATAAATCGTCCTCTTGATTTACTAATATATTTTTTGTACTATTAGATTGAAAGATTAAAAATGTTATCAATAGTGGAATAATTACTCCTAAAACCGGCTTGGCATTCATCTATAATGTTATTCAATTCGGCCCACTTGATCAAACGATTTGCGAGGATTTTCATAAAAAATTTTACTCAAGCTATTTCCTACAGAAATTGCCCTGTAATTATTCGGATCGGATTTATTTCCTTTTTGTGTACTGGGGTAACAATGCTTTCTGCCCAGGTAGGTGGGAAATGACCCGTATGTTTATATTGTTGAATAATTTATTCAAGTATGGTATTGTTAAATATATAGTTACTTTTGAACATTTCTATGCATATTCCATCCACTCCTGTTGCGCAATTGTTTTTCAAGGAATTAACTACTTATCATGATTTCGTCGTCTGTGACGTCACAATAAAAGATCTGTGTCATCTATTCTATCATAAAAGACTGTTGAATATATCTTGATTATTAAAACTTGATTGTTTTCAGGAAAAAAAGTTTTTTGTTAAGTAGGAAACCCATGTGTTTTCCCTCGATCCCGGGGTTTTGGGTTATTTCGTTTACCCTTTCCCTAAAATTTTTAAATACAAAACCCGAAAAAAATTGCATCATTTTTGGTTGTTGAAAAAATTTTTCGCGCATCTTTTTTTCCTAGAATTGGCGGGTTAGTTTTTTCCTTAAAATTTTAAAAAATTCGGGTTTTTTTTTCAAAAAATTTCATTTTAGTCTGAAATTTTGTTGTGTTCGTTCCCCAAATTTTTTCGTAAAATGCCCTTTTTTCAGTTGTTTTTATTTGCACATTCCCAGTCCCCCCCCGGTTGTTCGTTTGGGTTTAAAACCTTTCTGTTTTTCCTTTTAACTTTTAAAAACATGTTTTTACCGGCGAATTTTAAAAAAGGTTCTAAAAGTTGTCATGTGTTGTAGTTTTTTCCCCCCTTTAATAAAATCATTATAAAAGGTTTCAAAATAATGGTGTGAATTTTTGTATAAATGTATCTCTGAGCGACTCTTTCCATTTATACGTTTGATGTTCATAAAGGTTCGGAAATGAGTGAAATTCCGTTGAATTCACGTTTTACAGTATCAAGTAGAATTTTCACAGGTAACCGGAAAATGATCTGATAAATCAAAGTCTGGCAACACTAAAGTCTTGTATACGATCAAATATGTCGGTCGACGCAATAAAATAGTCAACAACACTCAATCCTCCATTTGCTGTACATGTAAAGTTCCCGGATGTATCTCTAAATAGACGTCCATTAAGAATATGAATCCCTAATGTACAACACATTTCAATAAGCGATATACCGTAACGGTTGCTTTTTTTCATCGCGATTTTTTTCTGTTCATATTAAATATGTCACTTGGATAATCTGTGCATGTGTTAAATACGTAATCAATGTCGTCATCTATTATGATATCTTCTAGGTTTCCGGTTCGAGCATTTAAGTCCCCAGCTACAATGAGGGACACATCACCAAGGTCTGAGATAATACATGTCAGTTTTTGAGAAAGGATATCTATACCGTTTTCGGACTTGTCTTGGTAAATAGGTGAATTCTCTGGTGCAACGTAGCAGAAAAATAACACAATACTCTTTTCTAATTTTGCAATATGCTTATCAATATATAGGACGATACATTCTTTGAATTCCGGATATATACGTTTAACAATGGCATTATTACATAATTCATTCCTTATAAAGACTGATACTCCACCTGAGTCTCGATAACATTTTGATGTTCTTGGGCAATCATAATTTGTGAAGCCAGGTAATAAATTATCATAGTTATCATGCGTTGTTTGCCAAGTTTCACAAATGCAGACGACATCATATTTATTGCAAAATGTAATAAATTCGTTGTGTTTGTTGTATTTACGTAATCCTTGAATATTTAATGAACACAATTTTAAACTGTCATATTTACACGATTTTGGGCTTTGGCCGAATTCCTATTTTTTTACAGAAACGGGACACTTTTTGTCTTTGCAATATGTGAAAATTTCATTATCAACAATCAGTTTATCATACTTAAAATATGCTGATTTGCCAGAGTCCAGACATTCTTTAAAAAATGGATATAATTCGGTTCTTGCTAATGAAATTCTATGGGGAAGGTCTTCTGATATACGAAACGGCAAGTCAGTTGACTAGTATAGTACATTATCATTTGAATAGGTCTTGTAAATTAAAGAAAATATACAAGATTAATTCAAAGTAAAATAAAATAAATTAAAAAAACAAACTTTGTTTACAAAGAAATTTATTAAGTTACTAGAGTGAATTGATTCATTTTCAGTGACTTTAATACCTGGAATAAGAATATACACGGTAGTAACTACATTGCGATAAAAATTATATCTTTTTCGTTGTGATATAATTATTTTTGTGTTACGTAAAACACAATAAACGGACATCGGTATATTTTTTTCGGATTTTTGAGATTTTTGCATTGAATAAATACAAAACAGTATAATAAAATATAACAAAAACATTGTTTTTATTGTCTTTCACTATCAGTTGATAAAAATTGAAGGAATTGCAACAAAGGAGTGAATTGAATCTGTTGTTGAATTGGAATTGAATTGGAGATTACAATACATACCGGTATACACTTGAAATATAGTCTACACATAAGTATTAAGTGACAATGTGACATGGACAAGAAAGTGTTGTGAAAATTGATGAAAGTGAAAAAATATTTAAAGCTAGGATTGATGAATATCTGATTAATCAGCACACAAAGAGGATATACAGTGGTGAAATAAAAGTAAAAAAATAGAACAATACTAAATTGAACTTCATTATTACTTGAAATAATTTATATATTATTGTCTCATTGGTGACTTTATTTTATATTGACATAAAAAAAAAAATATTCAGGAAATAAATTATAGTATTAAAAAGAAAATACTTATTTTGTTATATACGTTTCCATGTATATTTTATATTGATTAAGGATTTCAGTTTGACACTTAGATTTTAAGTTAAATCTCAAGTTGAGTCTAGAGGCAGATGTTACATTTAAGTTGAAGACTGACTAAGTTTAGAGTTATCTTAAGTTGAGTCTCAAGTTGAGTGACACCTTAAGTTAAGTAAATTAAATTATAAAGTTATATGTTTTAACCTTTATTCAAGTTGAGTGTAACTTAAGTTACGTGATATATCCTTACTTGACTTGAGGGAGTATTAAGTTAAGTGATAATACTTAAGTGGTGTATTAAGTTAAGTGGTGATACTTAAGTGGAAACTTAAGATCGGTGGTTCTTACTTAAGTAAACTTGAGTGGTACTTCAAATTGAATTATACTTAAGATTAATGATAGTTTAATCTTTTAATTAAAGGAAACTTAAGTAATAAGAATACAAACTTAAGTTGAGTGTGATACTTAAGATAAGTATAGGGGAAATATCATTATAAGTGAGTGTTTTTGCTAATAATATACAATTACACTTGATTATTTTGTGGTGATTTCCCTAGTTTGTGTTTATATATATGACATATCAGATCACTCAAACTTAAGTGAACACTTAAGTAACTAAGTTAGAATATGTTATGAATTGATTACTATTGTGAACACTTGTGTATTATTCAGTGAATATATTAAGTAACTATATTGGAGTGAAAGGACACATAGATGATAGACACATGTGCTTAAGTTAAGTGGATACTTAAGTCAATACTTAAGTTAAGTGTATACTTAAGTCAATACTTAAGTTAAGTGAAAAAATTACAATTCAAGGAATTGGATTTTATACAAAAGGACATTGATTTTAAAGGGATTATAGTACCCGTGAGAAGATATGGAGGAAAGTAAACTGAGTTTAGCAATGGGAGGAAAGCCAAAAACTTCTGAAGAGAAGCATGGAGCAATGATAAGTGAGGAGGAGAAAAAGATATTAGAGGCTTTTCATAAATTGCCGATCAAGCCAAAGAAGTTGGATGATCCTGATGATTTATTAGCATTTATGGAAGATGTGAAGACTTTGAAGTTGAGCTCTGGAGTTGATTCCGACACACTGAAGATGAAAGGAAGCTATCACTTTCCAAAAGTCTCAAGTTTTTACGGAGAAGACAACAAGGGAGATGTGACGTGGGAGACCTTCAAGTTTGAGATTTCAGCATTGATTGCCGATAAGTTCTTTTCTGAGGAACAAATTCTTCTTGGAGTTAGAAGAGCTGTGAAGGGCAATGCCAGTGATGTGGTACGAAGACTCGGGACAGGCGTTGGTATTATGGAAGTGATGAACAAATTAGAGAGCACATTTGGAAATATAGAGACCAGAGAAAGTATACTTAGGAAATTCTACTCAACAAAACAACAGAATAATGAATCAGTAATTAACTATGAGTCAAGATTGGAGGATATTTTTACCCAAGCAGTCAACCTGAAAGGACTTAAGAAATCAGATGATGATATTTTGAAGCAAGTACAGGGTAACATCCGAAAACCGAACACCCATGGGACTTGTCAAAAAGTTCGGATTTCAGAGGTTTCCGGAATTCAGAGGTTTATGATAATGTGGACAAGACTAAGCCACTTAATATCACTAAATGTCAAGGAAAATGTGGCAATTACTGTAATATCATATATAATAGTCTTTTAATCAAGATAAAGATGTGCATGAAAAGAATACATTTTTATCTTACCTGCAAATGCTTTTGAATTTCTATCAGTTTGTAGAAATGTTGTTAATTGCATAAACTTACATATCGTCCGATGCTAGATAATTAATTATTACATAAAATGCAATAAAATCCCTAAAGACATTTGATGCATGCATTGTCCAATTAATTTGTCATTTAATCCGCTAATAAACACCCCAAATTAACTGACCGCCGTAAATTACTTTGATTAGGCCTAACCGCATCACTTCAAACATACCATTTCACAGTTTGTGATTTTAACGCGTGTCAAATTACACGATCACCGCTAATTAGTTAACAATCGATAAGGAGATTAAATCTTCCTGCAGGGTAAAAATTCTCGTTTTACAATGTATTTCACACCTTTGTATATTTCCGGTTTTTGGAGGTAAAATTGCATTGATTTGACTCTAATTTTACGAAAATATCGTCCGGAATTCAGAATTTAGAAGTTCCGGAATTCAGAAGTATTATATTTATAGAAAATAGAAGGAAAAAAATCGGGACCGAAAAAAATGTTCGGTTTTTAGAAGTTTCCGGATTTCAGAAGTTCCGGAATTCGGAAGTTACACTGTACTTTACCAAGGACTTAAACCGGATATTAAACATCTCGCTTCATATAAATGTGAATCCGTTGATGACTACGACAAATTCAAGATTGAGCTGAGGAAAATTGAAGCAGAATTGAAGTCTGAAACAGAGAGTAACACCAGGAAATGTAATGCTGTCATCAATGTAGACAAGAAAGAATCATCAGAAATGTCGGAAGTAAAACAACTCTTAGAGAAACTGAACAAAAGAATAGATGATCTGGAAAAGGAGAAGAAAAACAACACTTACGTACCACAGCCAAGAGGTTATTATAGAGGACAATACAGCTATAGAGGTTTTAGAGGAGGATACCAACAACAAGCATATAATAGAGGTAGAGGAGAGACGAGACCAACAAGACCGACTGCAACTGGAACATTTCAGCCAACATGCTATACATGTAACCAGAAGGGACATTTGGCTCGGAACTGTCCATCCTATTCACAGCCTACATGTTACCACTGTAATGAGAAGGGACATATTGCGAGGAATTGCCCAAAAGAGTTAGTGCACTAGTTACGGAATCGAACTTGGGCACAGAACATCGAAATGATTCCAAACTTATAGGAAACACCAATGAAGCCAGCATCACCATCAACAACATAGAAACACCAGCTCTTTTAGATAGTGGAAGTTGTGTCAGCTTAATTTCCAAATCTTTCTATGATCAACACTTACAGACAACAGAAATACAACCTTTGGAAAATATTTTGAATATCGAGTGCGCTGATGGAAAACATTTGCCATATTTGGGTTACATTGAAGCACAATTGACAATTGAAAAAGGATTACTGATTACATGACAATGTTGGACATCCCGGAAGAGAAAGGACCTTAGCTTTACTTAAAGAAAGATTTTACTGGCCAAGAATGTATGCAGATGTAGACAACCATGTTTCTCAATGCCAAAGATGCCTTAGAAGAAAGTCCAATGTACACAACTATGCACCTTTAGTAAACATCACTACTACATATCCACTTGAAATGGTTTGCATGGACTATTTGACACTTGAACCTGCTAAAGGAATTTCCAACATACTTGTTATAACAGACCACTTCACTAAATTTGCGATGGCTATTCCAACTAAAAACCAAACAGCGAAAACTACAGCAGAAGCTTTTTATAATAATTTCATTGTACACTACGGGATTCCAAATGCCATACATTCAGATCAAGGAGCCAATTTTCAGTCAGAAATTATGAAGGAACTTTGTGAAATTACTAACATGAAGAAGACGAAAACATCAGTGTATCACGCCATGGGTAATGGATTAACTGAAAGATTTAATAGAACGTTATTAGACATGCTGGGAACCTTAGAGACATCGCAGAAATCAGACTGGAAGAAACATATTCCAACATTGGTCTACGCATACAACAGTACACCTCAGGAGTCGACAAAGATTTCCCCTTTCGAACTAATGTTTGGACGTATAGTCTAGTCAAATTAGCCCGAAAATCAAGCTAACCTAGAACTAATTGCAAAAGTTTTTGTTTTGGTATTTTATGATGGTACCATATCTGCTTGATATTAGGAAAAAAGTTGCACTCTTTTGCTGATGGGGAAATGTGATAATTCTAGCTTTCAAGTTGACACCCTTAAATTTCAGTTATAAAATCGGCGTTATTTGTTAATTTCCGATGATACTAAAAAAACACTTCTATATATAAGTTAAACATATTTATTACATGCAAACTTCATACAAACAAATTTTTGTCCATGTTGATACAAAAATTTATGCATTTAAAATTAAAAAAAAAAATTTGGTGGGCAATTCTATGACAAACTGGTGTCAAATTACCCCACCCACTTTATGTTAGAATTTTTAACCAGTCAAATTCCGATATATAAGCAGCAAATCATCCATTCCATGTATATTTTCAGTAAAAACAATACATAATAACATATTTATGCATGAAGAAGTACTTTGTAAATTATGTCAACTGTATTCATATGAATTAAAATTGACATACATGTGTATTGTAAATTATGTTTTAGATAAATGTTGAATAATTCAGGTACACTTTTGTTTAGCTAACATTCTGAACATCCAACGCATTTTGAATAATTTGTTTATTTCAAGTAAAAAAAGAACAACAACAAGTAAGTATAATTAAGAGCGAGTAACAATTACCAAAACTACAGATGAAAAATACTATGTCCGGTCTATGGAGAAATTGTAGTATATACATTTAAGTGTCACTTGTTGAAATTTGACATTACACACGGAATAAAACTATATTACAAATGTACAAATGTACCGAAGAGCTACCTAATTTGGCAAGCAACAATGTTAGTGATAATAAATATAAAGAACACGAATATAAAGGCTGTTTCATTCACAAGAACTACAATTTTGTCACATCGATATGTACACTTAAATCACTTTAAGTATATGGTAGGGTTATTATCACGCTTGTACTAACACATAACAGTCTACAACATATAAGACCGCTTCTATAAATTTGAAATTATCGTTCTGTATTTCAGACAGTATAGTAATACATTTTTTATTTACAATAGGTGAACTTGACATTGACAATTAGAGAAAAAACAGTGTGAAAAAACACAAGCAAATATAAGAAAGCATTGATAAGTATGTCTTCAATATACAATCTAACTCTAAATGTACAATACTCTTGTACATTTAGAGTTAGATTGTTTCAAACATTTTACTACATTTATGTTATAGCGCATAGTTTGGTGCTAGTACAAGTTAATTGTTCTGTGATAGACACCAATGTAAAATATTGTGCATAAATTTTAGTATAATTTGACACTGGATAAAAGAGTATAACTACAATACTAAAGAACTACTTCATATGGCAAGCAAACAGAGTATTATTATAAATCTTTTGTTTTTATTACAAGCTACATTGTATTTACTTCGCGAGGAATATGAGACTGTTCAATATATAGAACATATTTGTCTGCAAAGTTTTATATGAATAACTTAAAGTGAAACATCTATTGCTTATGTAAAAACAAGATGCCAGATGCATGTACAATGTACATTGCCAATAATAACTCATTTCAATACAAAAGAGGTACAAATTGACAACTTAGTTCTAAGAGCATTGTGTCGATACAAGATCTAGTCCTCCATGTCTGCAAAATCAATATCTGAAATGGACCGACAGTTTGAACAGCTAATACAATGACATTCTCCACAACCAACCGAACATTCGAGCTCATGTTTGCGACAGGTACATCTCTAAGAGTGGCATTTTTTTGCAATTGCATCTGATAATATTTAAAAGAAAATCTGGAGCAGCGGGTTGTGTAGATTTTGTGGGTACAAGAGTCCTTCGAGAAGTTCCTATCCCCATTCAGTTGGATCTAATTTATCATTTCCAATCCATGTTTGTGTTTGAAAATATGACGGTATAGAGTGTTGCGCCGCAGCATCAGACGTAGGCGGAATGCTTTGAACTTGAATAACAGATGAACTTGACATGGTTTTACTTACATAATATTTGTGAAATCTCAGTCTGTTAAAATTTATCTCCCTAGCTCCATCATATTATATCCTCATGGCATTTTCACCACCTGTAATAATTTCTTCTTTGTTTGTTGAAGAATGAAATATTGCAGCATTTTGCCGGAACACTTCATTTTTACACATTATTTTAAGAACTGTCGCAACCAGAGAAAGCGTGCAGGAATGGTAGGAGATAACAAATCTCTATTCCAATCACATTTTGGTGTCTTTTAAATATATATGCCAAACTATTTGGGTTTTCATTGTCTGATTTGAAATATACATTCTTCGAATCTGACGAAAATCCAAAACTGACAACAGTCTGTTTAAAGCAACATTTCCCCACAGATTGTTTCTCTCAGAACATTTGAGTTGTATTGTTTCCTGCATCCTCGGTAACCCAGGCTATTTACCGTATACATGTATCGGTAATAATATTAAATGTAGTATATACGGAATGTGTACCTTGGGTTCCGACGATGTGTTTCCTAAAAATCAAAACTTCTACCAGGATGAACATCTACGTTTACCAGATGCAACTTTAGCAGGCTTACCACAGAACAAGCAATTACACTTAAAAGCAAAGTTAGCATTTGATCTTAAAGGTCTTTTAACTTGGTTACACTTAACATTCAAACTACATGTATTTGAAATGTTTCTATTGTGAATAAAGTCCCTTCTACAGTCTTGGTGCACAATTTGGCCTGTAATTGTTCGTATACTTGTATACTTGAATTCCTCAGATCGCTAGCATGGTTAACACTGTTGCTTCCCTTCTCTCTGAGAGTGACAAATTGGGACCCATTCTGGATATCCTGCGCACAAAATACGCACGTTGTAGAATCTGAAAGCATATTTTAAATCTACAGATCTGTATATATTATTATTTTGTATATGCATTATTTCACAGTAACAATAGTATTATGTAGTGTAAAATATGAATAAACATGTATATAACTTATGAAATATGTTATTTTATATATGTTTGTGTATTGATTTTCTTACTATTCAGACCAATATCGACACATGGGAACATGATGAATGTATAAACCATCTGACATTGGTAAAAACAAAATATACCTGTTGCCATGTTGATATTTACTTGTAGATCCCGAAATCAGAAATGCACAACGGGTTTCTGAAAAAAAAATCAGTATAGAAATATTCAGTATAAAATGTGCATTTATATCAGCCTACCTTAAATAGCCGTTGTTATTTCCCTGCATTTAAATATTTTGTGAGAAATCATGTATGAATTTAGCATATATTTATATTAGCATATTAACTTTGTATTTAAAAGAAACAAGTATATTTTGCATGAACCGATACTCAAATGACATTATCGTTCACTTTGAATAATAAAGCGTGACGTCATTTGGCCAATGCCAATTTGAATATTCGGCATTACTTTCCATAGGTGTTTGTTAAATGTAGGCAATAACAAAAAATATCAGTACTATGTTATACTTTGCATTTTTAAAATATCAGTAAGTTATACAATCACAACAGACCGAGGAACTTGAACATACATGTATAAGGAATGTATTGTATGTTCCGGGCAATCATGTAGTATGAAAGCTCGGGAGCGATTTTGCAAATTTCCTATGAAGAGCTACTGGTGTGGTCCATTTCACATAATAGCATATTTGAAAAAAGGACAAGTTAAAACAAACATTGTTCATATATTAAAGATAGAAATTGTGCAAAGATAATACTTAAAGTATGAGAGACAGCTGAACATTAGATAATCATCATAATTATGACCATTGGTGTGTAAATCATGGATGTCCTATTTGAAATTAAGTATTGATTTTATTTATGTACATTTACATGTTTAATAATGCAAAATATATATCTAAATATAAATTTATATATCCGTACATGTAAATCTGAATATTGTTTTATATACTGGTTTGGGACCACCAAAATCAGACAACCACCAAACCCGGACGGCCCCGAAAATGCTTTATTTAGTATTTTCTTTGTTCAGTGGTTGTCAGTCACTTTTTCATCAACAGTAAATGCATGTTTCT